GTTGTTACTGTCACACACATAATTCCTGCCACAATTAGGGTTCCCACAAAAAAGGGATATCTTTGCACAATAGGTCCTAGACAAATGGGAGCTTATGATTGCATGGCCATATGACATTTGAGGTGAAGTTCAAATGAGAGGATGAATGAGAAGTCCCTTTTTAACTCTAAAGCCCTATATAATTCATCCAAGAATCATGGATTACACATTACTATCACCAGATTTCAAAAAGTGATTGGAGTGTAGAGGCAAATACCTACTCCAAATACAGGAGGCAGAAAAATAACGCCTACTATGACAGTGTGATTAACTGCTACAAGATGAGCCTGGAGTATCATAAAAGATTCCAAAGTTGAGGTGTGTAGTGAATCCAGAGAGCTTAAAAAAGAAGGCGATACAAGCTGAGAATGAAGGCTTTGTAAAAATTAACAAAAGAGAAAGTAGGGATGTGTATTTCAGGCATAAGTAGGGAAGGAGTAAATTCATGGAGGTAACATGGATATGGAGCATTTAAGCTCCTGCAATTAGTACTAAATTTCTGGAACACAGGTACTATTAGAAGAGTGGTAGGTGAAACTGGAGAGGTTGGCAGAAGCCATATATCTAAGCAAAGACTTTGAACTTTACCCTAGAAGTAACAAGAAGCTGTTGAAGAATTTTAAGCAAAGGGATGACAACAACGGAGTTAATTTTTAGAAATGTCACCTCACCGAACAACAGGAAGGTTGGACTAGAGGATTGTGAACCCAGAGACAAGAAGATCATTAGGAGATCATTGCACTAGGTTAGGTAAGGGGTGGCGAGGACCCAAACTGAGGAAATGGCATTGGCAAAAGAGTAGAGCAACTAGACAAGAGTTGCTTAGAACAGTGACTCAACTGCAGGCCCAATCTATCTGTGATAGATATATTAAAAATCAAATTAATGAATAATAGCTAGGTTTTATGAAGAAATAGAAAAGAAAATACCAATGTATCACATAGGTTCTGATAAACAACCCGGGCTTTGCAAAAAATGTTCAATTATATATTGAAAAAGATAATAGAATATTAACATAGATAATAACCTAATCATATTTCCACTATTAAATATGGGGGTGTTTGTATGAATATGGCTTTATATAAATGTTGTCATGGACATACTGAGAAAGTAATGGATAAAAATATTTGAAACATACTGATGTAGAAGGTAGTATGGGATAGGCATTGGTGACCATTTAGATAGGATGAGAGAGGCTATAAGAAAGAGTGTGTCCAGGTTGATTGTGGTTAGTCAGTCTGTATGTGTTCAATGTTGGACATAAAACTTGAGGAGTGTATCAGGCCCCCAGGAAACACTGTTTAGAAAATAGGTAGATAATGGGTTTAGGGTAGAGGAAACAAGCCAAGGCTACAGGTATGGATTTGGGGGTTCAGCAACACTTCAGGAATAACTGGAGGAGATTTTAGCATCCAAAAAGAATGTGTGGACAAAGAGCAAAGGGCAGAAGTGAGGAAACAAACACTAGGTTACACTGATGTGTAAGGGTTCCAGCAAAGAGAAGAAGGCATGACCACAGAGCTAGGAGAAAAACCAAAGGAAAATGAGAGCCCCAAAACCCAAGAAAGACAGTCTTAGGAAGAAGGTTCCCAATGTTCAAATGCAGCCCAGAAGTCAAGAAAACCGAAGTCTAAAGACCACATGTTTAGTAACTGGGGCTCCCATGAGAGAAATTCCTGGGAAATGGTGAAGCAGAAGCGTTTGCCTGGTACTGAGGGATTTCTTGGTGTGTGGAACTTTCAGTGATAAAACTGGGACAATCTCGAGCAAACTGGAATGGCTGGTCACCCTAAGACTCAAAATAGTTAAGGTTTAAAAAGCGATTGAGGTAGAGGTAAAAAGTGTAGATGCTTATTCTGAGAGTTGACTCTACAGAGAAAAAGACAAAAGAACACCTAGAGAAGGAAACAAGGTTGAGAGTGTTTCTTGTTTCTTTATTTCTCTTTATCTTTATTTTTGTTTTTTTAACCCTTTCTTCTTATATTTTAAAATCATGCAAAAGATTTTAAAATGAGGAAAAAAGTGAAGCGCGAAGGTGAGGCTGAAGATATAGGCTAATAAGGCTAATAGATGGAGTAACATCTTTTCCTCATGAAGGGTAGAATTCTGAGCCATGAAAGCAAGAGAAGGTCCTGCCTGTGAAAGAGAGAAAAACATGTGTGTGAAAGTGTGGTGGGAAGTGGAAAGGGATTTCAACAGATGGTCTCCATCTTGTCAAGACCTGGGAGTAGGGGAGAAGTCGGGGGGAGGCTTGAATGGAGACAGGCAAAGGCTTGGGACATTCAGAGGGTGCAGGAAGAAACTAAAACACGTGTCAGGCAGCAAAGAAAGATCAGCTGAGATGAGGAATCACGGATGTGCAGTATACAAGCATAATTATTATTACCGACTTATCCAAAGTCACACAATTATATATGCATATTATAACTCTTTCTAGTCTTGAAAAATATCTGCCATTGCACTTAAAAATAATTATCTATGGGCAATAATGTAGCTAACCAAGAGTCAAAAATAGATTCTAACAGTTTTCATTAGAAAATGACATAGGAGAGAGAACAATACATTTAGCCCTTGGCAGAACTATTATCAATGGACACTACTTACTGTACTATAGTAGGTGGTATGGTCAGACACAGATGTGCTCAGACTGGAAGATGAAATGAGGAGAAGGGTAATCAGAAATGGGACCATCTGGAGGCCACACAGAGGCCTACCACACATTCTTGGCAACCCGGATAACAGGATGGATTTTCACCTTGACATAATGCCAAGCCTTGGCTGCCTGCTAGTAGGTATTGCCCCCTTCCTTAGAGGGCATTGATACATACCCTATGCCAAATCTTCACAATAATGTTTTGTGATAGACTTTTATCCAGTTTTGGCAACGGGAAAATCACACCTCAATTTGGTAAGTTACTGGTCCACAACTGGCAAATTAGCAGAGATAAAATGTACCTAAATCAATTGGTTTAACCCTTTCCCTTGGCCTTCTTTGTCATCTATAACAAGAAAGACAATAACAACGCACAGGCCTCCGTAAGAATTAAATGAAGTGACATATGTGAAAGTGCCAGGCACCTCCACAAACGCTTCATATATATTTCTCTAGCATAGTGGTTTTCATCTGGCAGCAATTTTGCCTCCCCAGGAGATATGCAATAAGGGGGATATTTTTTATTGTCACAACTGAGGGAGTGCTACTGACATCTAATAGGCAGAGACCAGGGATGTTGTTAGACATTCTACAATGCACAGGATAGCTCCCACAGCAAAGAATTCTAGGGTCCAAAATGTCAACATGCTGAGGCTATCAGCTTGATGCAGATGGGAACCATATGCACTTACAAAGCACAGCAGAACCTGGCAAATAACAGGCAGGTCTTGATATTAGGACACTTGTAGATTTAGATCTTGGATCCACTACTTGTTTTCAACAAGTTACTTAACCTGAGCCCCCAGTTTTCAAATTGGGATAATAACAGCACCTACCTCATAAGACTGTTCAGAGGCGAAACGAATTGGTGCTTAACTACACTCCTGGCATGTGGAAACAGTGTTGGTATATTATTAGTGAGAGGTGTGGCAAGCAAGATACTGAGAGAGTGATAATTTATTTTACTAATCTAAGAGGGAAGATGAAAATTCAGAGACATTACAATGACACTCTAGCCTTAGTAACAGTTACGGGGTTATTAATGTTTCCCTACCATGCAAGTCTACTCTGCATTATACTCAGCATAGAGACAAATTAAATAATCATTAAGTAGTATTCTGTCAGCGCAATGGAATTAATCACTTTTCTCCACTTTGGGAGAAACTCAGTAGACACCAATTTTCTGGAGTTGCAAACGTTTTCGTCATTCAAGACTCATTGGCATATGTCTTGTGCTGCTTTTTTACAAAAGATTTTATTCAGTAGAAAGTGTTTTGTTCACAGCATTTAAAGTTGCATCTACCATTGCTTGATACCCATTTGATTTTCACAAATTTCTTTCTGAAAATATCACAGTACTTTTGATTTGTGCAAACATTGACCTGGATTTTGAAATCTATTGTAGTAACACCGAGTGTTCAACTTTCTCACATGTATATATTCTTACTATCTTGGCTGCCTCCAACAGAGGCAGCTCTCTTTTACGGCACAACCAGTTGGCAGCATTGCCCTCATATTTTCTGGGCACCATTCATCAAACAAGCAGTGCAGGAAATAGAGAGACTCCTCTGGAAATGACACACCCTTCATTCCCTTTCATGGGGAGGGTGTGGGTAGAGGGACTGAGGAAGCAGGAAGGCAAAAACCAACAGGAAGAAGAGGGGATGGGATGAGAGAAGGAGAGATGGTAAAGAGAGTGCATAGCTTGTAAGGGAAAGGGCAATCGCCAAATAGATGAGCCAAAAAAGAGCATGGGACTCACAATCCTCAATGCATCCCCATGTAAAAACCATTTTATATGTATATAAATATATATAGCAAAACCAATCAAGCACTGCAACAGCCTCAGGGCATTTTATCCATTTCCCTATGAACTACCCAACAAGCTGTGGGACAAATGAGAGTGGGGAAACACAACCATCCCCACCCTCTCAGACAAGGAAACCTGATTCAAAGAAGTTACAACTTGCCCCGTCTCTCCTTCCCAAAGTGACTGGAAGATGAAAAAAAGGAGAGAAATGGACCCCAGGTTTGCCAAATTTAAGTCTCCTACATCAGAGATTTGCAAGAAAAGCAATGAGAGGCCACAGAAGGAAAATAAGCAACGATGCTGCTAAGAATGGGAAGAGATGGCAAGGGGTGGGCGTGTAGGAAGAATGACAGTCGCAAACCTACCCAAGGACCAGCACAGGAGGTCAGCAGTGGACGACGGGCCCCCGTCGTCAGCAACACCCTAACCTAACAAGGCTGAGAGACCACAAAAAAACCATCCTGCAAGAAAACGCCCAAATCAATAACGTATCTTCGCTTCATTCTTTTCAACATAGGCTTTAATTCACGATGTACTCAAGGGGAGGGACCAGAGCACTGTTCAGAAGGGGCAATTACACTAAATACACCGAGCTTTGCCAAAAAATAGGAGAAGGTACAGGTGGCTACAGAAGCCCCTCTTGCCCCTTCTGTCATCCCCGCCCCATTCCCAAACAGTCTTGGTTTCTTGGCTATCTGCTTTAGTAAGAACCTACCAATGGTTTAAACAAAAAACACTTGAAGTTGTGATTAAAACAATCCTCAACTCCTCTTCATCTCTGTTTCTTGTTTCTTTTATTATTTGACTTTTTAAAAATCCCGTTTCATCTCCACGAGTGTTTTTCCCACCGTCCTTTAAACTGAAGGCGCTGCGCCCCCCACCGCAGTCTTCATGGGAGGGAAGAGTGCCTCGAAGTCAGTCCCGGTGCGCCCCCTCCTCCCCCGGTGCCCCTTCCCAAACCCCATCGGGTCTCCAAAGGCTGGGGTAGGCCGTGCGGCTGTAACCCGCGCTGAACTCGTAGGACACCTGAGGGGGCGGCGGCGGCGGCGGCGGGGAAAGGGCGCAGTCGGGGAAGAAGGGGGCGAAGGAGGCCAAGGGGCCCGGCCCGTCCTCCCCGCCAGCAGAGTCCGTGGCGGCGGGGTACAGGGGGCGCAAGGGCTCGTTCAAGGTCAAGCCGCCGCGGGGGGCAGTCAGGGACGGCTTCTTGGTCGGGGGGCAGCCCGGGACGCTCCAGGGCTCAGGGTACAGTAGGCTCCCCACCACCGCGGGCGGCGGCTCAAAGAGGCCGGGCTCCAGCTCGGGCGGTCCCCGCAGTACCGCGGCTCCGGAGGGAAACACGTCGAGAGGCTCGGCTGCGAGCAAGACGGCCGCCTCGGC